CCCAACAAATGGACTATGGGTATTTTCCTTTGTTTAAAAAAAAAAAAGAGGGAAATGGTGCGGGAGAATTATCTGTATTCTGTCAATCATGTATTTTAATAAAACGCTGACTGGTCAGGCAGGAAGTATAGGCAGGTCAACCAGACAGGAAGTAGAGGCGGAGTAATAAGAATAGGATAAGGCTAGGGAGGAGAGAAGTTCCTTAGCCACTCCTGCGCAGATCACTGAAGAAGCAACATGTAAGCTGCCCCCGCTGGAAAAGGTACTGAGCCATTATGGCTAACATAGATGAGAATAATGGGTTAACATAAGTTATAAGGACTAACAAGAAGCCTGACCTAATGGGCCAATCAGCTTTATAACTTATAGAGATCTCTGTGTGATTGATTTTCCTTGGGGCTTGCTGGCTTGTTGGGGTACCGGGCAGGACAGAAACCCCGTCAAGCCAGCCCCCTCATGTTACACAGAAGGGGTGGTCAGCTTTGTTAGCAGCAGCTGGGAAGGGTGTTTGGGACACACAGCTGAGTCAGGCAGGGGTGTCTCCATGGTATACTTGATTTACGTCTCTGTACGCATGTGTGTTCATTTTCACAGCATGCTTGTTTTATGTCTCTGCTTGTCTTATTTCTCTCTGTGTATATGTGTGTGTTTTAAGATCTGTAAAACTTTTAACTCCAGATTACAACAGCTCTGAAAAAATACAAACACATGGGTAACCTCCATTTTGACCTCACCGCCATCTTGGGTAAGAGTGCCCACATGTGCTATCATTCTTTGACTTTTTAAAATATTCCTTTCAATCTTCTTGCATTTACTAGCATTGGTAAGCTGTAACTAACTGGGTAAAATACATGTCTAAATTTAACTCATATGTTTAGTTTAAATTTAACAGGTAATGATGCCCAATTCTCAAGTGTCTTTACAGATCTGAGAGTATGGCATTTAACAAAAGAATTTCTATCACAGAGACATGCCAGCTCCTGCAACATCCTATAGCTCCTCTAAGAAGATGCGTGGTTGCAAAAAGACCTTCTGCCTTGAGGCCTGACTTTGGGTATGGCAAAGCCACCCACACAGCAAAAAGTGCCCTTCCACCCCTTCAGCTTCCTGGACGCTACACCAGGGGATTTGATCATCTCATCCTGCCAAGACAGGTAGACTAAATCTTCTCCCCAACAGGAAAACCTTCCAGCCTCTTGTACTCAGCAGCTAACAGCAAGCACTGCTTCTGAGGCTGGTGTTCTCCAAGAACTAAAGAGAGACTTGGGATTGCCTGTGTAGCTAAAAAAGCTGTCTCATTTCTGCCCATTTATCCCTCTTTAGATCTGTCTAATAGCATTTAATGACTTTAGCTACTGGTAGCTCATTATCTCATTTGTTAAGTTTCCTGCTAAATACAGACAGGTGTGCTTCTTTAACAGGCTTCATAGTCCAGGATTAACAGGTGTATCTTTAAAAATTTAGAGTTCTCAATTCCCTTTAATGTTCCAGTTGCCTTATAGATCTACAGGTTCAAAAAGGAAAAAAGTTCTGCTGCTTTATCAAGAAATCAGGTCTGGTAAAAACTGAGTCTCCAGAGACTATTTTAACCCCACCCATTTTACAGGTCACTCCTGTTGTCTGGGCCAAGATCAACTTGCCTGAAGTCTCCAGGATGACAGCAAACCGGATGCATCTGTAGCCACACCTCTCGCTGAGCGTGAACCCACCAACTCCCAGCTCTCCCCTCTCCCATGTCACCCCATACCCCATGCCTGTAGGAAGTAGCCAGACTTGAGTCTGTGCACCTTTATCCAAAGAAAATCGGAAATGCTTGGTTAAAAGCATCACCTCAGCTCCCTAACACCCCTTTATACAAAAAGTCTGGATTATTAGTTGGGGGCTTCACCCCAGCCCCTGGCATCCATTTTCAGAATGCTGGGTGGAAAACTCCATTCCAAGCTCCCTCCCCTGGGAGTTGCCTCAGTCCAAACACCACCTCTGAGAAAGCCACCAAAAGATGACCCCTCCCCAGGGAGGGTCAAGACCACTCCCATAGGCTATTTAAACTTCCCCCCAGAGAATGAACACATGGTCTCCCCTTTTCCCTCTTCCCCTCTCTGTGTTCTCCCAGGGGCCACCCGGGAGTATTGTCATCCATTAAACCTGGGTATCTTTTAATTTGGTCCGATGGGGATTATTTGTGTTAGTGGAGAGGTTGGTTGTTTAAGACAAAAACTTAACAGCAAGGAAATACTAGATCAAAGTAATACTGAAAACCAGCTGGGCAAACTCCAGACTCTGCATCTCCACGTCTGATATCAAAGCACTCTCCAGATCTCCAGCTCCATTCAGCTTTGCTGTTGACGGCAGCATACTTCTCTCTCTTGGGCTGGTTTCACTCCCTGTTGGCAGCTCTCCTCGGCAGGTATCCCGTGATTCTGGCATCTATAACACCTTGGGTTCTCCAAGGCGATCCAGACTTTACCTTCACAGCTTCGTGCAATGACCTCTAACTAGGTCTCCCAGGGATGCCCTTGACACACACCTGAAGCTGCCAAGTTCTGCTGCTTGCCAGGGCTGGAACATGGTTCCCTCCTTCATTACATCTTCACCAGTTTTCTGTATTTCACTGCCTAGGTTTGGTTGTCTTTGAACTTGCTCTTTAGACCAGGCTGGCCTCAAACTCAGAGATCCGCCAGCTTCTGTCTCCTCAGTGCTGGGATTAAAGGTGTGACCCACTACACCCTGCTCCAAGTTTTTCTTCAGTTTCTTTTCACTAGTAGGACACTTAGCTGGGTGGGGTCACCCTAAGGTCACCACTCCCTTTATCCCATTTCTTAATCTGTTTATCTCCTTGAACACAGAATTTAGCTTTATTCCACTTCCTGGTGCTCTTTTTCTCTTTAAAACTTACATTTTGTAATTCACCCTGCTCAGCTTGCTCCTTTTCATTATGAATTCTCATTAAAGCGACCACTAAAAACCACACGACGGAGTCTATACTAGGCTGTTTTGAGATTTCCCCTGCTAATGAAATTAATTCAAAATTCTTCACTTTAGTCTGAGGCAGAATTTTCAGACAAGGGCAAAAGACAGCTGTCTTCTTCACCAAAATATCACACGCACGATCTGTAGGCAACATAGTAAAATTCTTCTCTGAAACCTCCAGAGTGAGCCCCCAGCAGTTCAAATGACTCTTAGCACCTCTGTCTTCCATGTTCCTACAAGCATGGCCCTTAAGCAGTGCTTAAAGCATTCCACTGTTTTCATAACCCAAAGTACCAAAGTCCAAATTCCTCCAAACAAGCACATGGTCAGGCCTATCACAGCACAACCTGACTCCTGCTTCCGACTTCTGTCTTAGGGTTTTCTACTGCTGTGCGGAGACACCATGACCACAGCAGCTCTTCTAAGGAAAACACTTAATTGGGGCTCCCTTAACAACTCCAGAGGTTCAGTCTATTATCATCTTGGGGAGCGTGGTGGCATGCAGGCATGCATGGTGTAGGAGTACAGGGTAGTGGTTTTTTGGGTGTGTGTGTGTGTATTGAATGAGAATGACTCCCCTAGGCTCACATATTTGAATATTTAGTCAGATATTGAATATTTACAGAGTAGAAGTGTTTGAAAGGATTGCCAGGACTAGAAGGTGAGGCCTTCTGGACGAAGTGTGTTAGTTGGGTGGGAACGAGGTTTCAAGCCAGGGCCAGGTGGTGGTGGCACATGCCTTTCAACCCAGCACTTGGGATCCCTGTGAGTTCGAGGTCAGTCTGGTCTACGGGGTGAGTTCCAGGATGACAGCCAGGGCTACACAGAGAAACCCTGCCTTGAAAAATCAAAAATAAATAAATAAGTGTTGCCTTGGTGATGGTTCTTCTTCACAGCAGTAGAACTGGGGTTCAGATGGGGTAAGGGTGAAGGTCAGTGGTAGAGGACTTGCCTGGCATCTCAGGCCCCGAGTTCAGAAAATAGTACTTTTTTTTTCTCTTTTGTATTTTATTTATTTATTTTATGCATAAGAGTGCTCTATCTGCACATACACCTTTATTCCAGAAGAGGGTATAAGATCCCACTGAAGATGGTTAAGAATCACCATGCAGTTGCTGGGAATTGAACTCAGGACCTCTGGAAGAGCAGCCAGTGCTCTTAACCACTGAGCCACCTCTCCAGCCCAGAAAGCAGTGCTTAAGGGTTGAGTCGTATAGCTCAGGAGCATCTCCCAAATACGTGCAGTGTTTCCAAGCCTAACACTACAGACAGAGAGACTGGAACGAGAGCCATAAGCAACAGAGGCATTAGCAGCCTCAAAAAGTCTGAAACCTCTTGAAGCATCTTGTTAAACATCACTCTGCGAACTGCTTGGCGAGCCAGCAGCTGCCGCCTGTTGCTGGGCCTCACCTAACACTTGGTAACTCTTTACTCGTTTTAATTAATTTCTTCCACGTTTGGTGGTGGTGATCAGTCTAGGATCTCATGCGTGTCAGGCACGTATCTGTCACTGAGCTCCGTCCTCAGCATTCATATATATATATATATATTTTTTTTACATTTTTTTTCCTGTTTTGTTTTGTTTTTGTTTTTGTAGACAGGGTTTCTCTATACAGCCCTGGCAGTCTTGGAACTCATTCTGTACACCAGGCTAGGCTGGCCTTTAACTCACAGAGATCTGCCTGCCTTTGCCTCCTGAGTGCTGGGATTAAAGGCACGTGCCACCAGTGCCTGGCTCGTGTTTTGTATCGTGGGAGATAAAACCCCCGACCTTGGGAATGCAAGAGTCTCTACTCCCGCGCTACATCCTCAGCCCTACTTTAACACCGCGTCTGTGGTGCTAAGTGATTTCCTCCACACCTTTATAGGCACACGTTGAGGGGGTCCAGGACACACCACCCTCAACACGGCATGCCCAGAACACGCTGTGTCCCCTTAGGCATATGGACTGTTTAGTTATCTTGAGAAAGTGTGGATGTCGGAGCAGCTCCGGACAGATGTCCTTGTAGAAAGGGGGGCTGCAAGTGCACAGGAAACTCATTAGGACCGAGAAGGGAGCCACTCGGAGATGGCTGTGGTCACCTGAGACTTTCATCTGTGTAAGAAGCTAACCCATATTCATTACGCATTTCCTCTCCCCACTCCCCCATAATTCCCTACCACTGTCAGAAGCTCAAGCTCCTCCTCCTTTCTCTAGTCCAGGATGCCGTATAAACTTAATCACAAATTCTTGGAGCCTCATTATCTGTGGACTCCCAAATGTGCACACGCTAACCAAAATGGGCTTTCTCCTGTTCGTCTGCTTTAGCTGTCCTGGGCATCTGAGACCCATTTTTCTTTCCTACAATACTCTCATGCCCTCCAGGTTGTAGATGGGGGAAACTGAGGCTCAGAGAGGGTAGGTCGTATCTAGTCAGGGGAGGAGCTGAGATCTGAATCCGATCCTGAACCTCACACTTCTCACTTTCCTCTATCACAGGATGAACGTACTCCCCGGCACACAGTGAAGGCAAAGATGCCCACGACTACATGCTCTGCGTACACCAGCTTGGAATTCTGCCCACTTACGCCCAAGGACAGGGGGACAAAGTCCTAGGATGACAAACAGCACCTGCACAATGCAGGTCCATTGAGCCTTTCCCCAGCAACCCAGGTCTTTCAAGGCCAGCAAATGGAATCAGGAAATGGAAGTTCCTGTGTGTGAATGAGTAGTTCTCTAATGAAGGTTTGCCCCATCACTTAAAACGCAGGAAAAAGCAAAACAAAACAGCAACAACAAAATAAAATAAAAACCAAAACCCCAGCCTCACTCCCTCTCTGGGCCAACCACAGGCATCTAACCAGGAGATGGCAGCACCGTAATCCATAAGGCACAGGTCAGGACAGGGACCAGTAGGGCTAAGGCCACATAGTGAGACCCTGTCTTGAAGAAACTGAAAAGCTGAGTCTTGTGGTAGTTGGAGTGAGAATGTCCGCAGTAGACTCGGAGGTTTGAATACTTGTTCTCCAGTTGGTGGTTGTGTTTGGGTAGGGATGGGAGGCCTGACCTGGCTGGGGGAATAAAATGTCACTGGGGGCGGGCTTTGAGGTTTTAGGAGTCATGCACCATTCTCTGGTGATCTGCCCTGCTTCCGACTTGCAGTTCAAGATGTGAGTTCTCAGCTGTTCCTACTGCCAAGATGGACTCTGAGTCCTCTGGACAGACTCAAACAAACTCTTAAATTGCCTTGGTCACAACGAAAAAAATCCAGATAATCTCCCATGGCATGACCAGAAGCCCACCTCCAAGGTGATTCTAGTTTCTATCTCGTGGACAATGAGCACTAACATCACAGGGATATAGGCCTGTTTCCCCAGCACTTGGGAGGGAGAGCAGAAGTCTAGGCCAGCCTGGTCTACAGGAGACTCTGTCTCAACCTACTCTTCCACCCCAAATGAACGCCAACTAATGCAGAAGGAATAGAAGAATTAGAAAAATACTGTTTTGCAGCTTTCCTTCCATGTTACAGTTCAGGCAAAGGTCATGAATGGGTGTGGATGGAAGGAATGCAATCTAGGGCGGAGGGTCTCAACCATCCTAATGCTGTGGCCCTTCAATATCGCTCCTCATGTTGTGGTGACCCCGCCAATAAAGTATCTTCATGGCTACATCGTAACTATAATTTTGTTACTGTTATGAACCGTAATGTGAATATGTGTTTCCTGATGGTCTTAGGTGACCCCAGGAAATGGTTGTTCAGCCCCCAAAGCAGGTCAAGACCCCCAGTTGAGATCCTCTGGTCTAGAGAATTGTGTTACATTTTCCCTGTTGCCATGGAGACATCATACTGTCATGATATTAACTACTAATCAAATGCCTCCTAGAGGCCCCTGATATCTGCTTTCTAGAGTGATGGAATCAGAAGTACACATTACCAAAAAGGCAGAAACAAAAATAGCCAGGATCCAATCACTAGTGGACTAATCAAGTATACATAAAAGGTAAGAGGGCTCTTCTCAGATTGAATTATTTGTTCAGAGAGACGCTAACAAGCGCGGTACATGGGCTGGGTGGGACCGCATCTGATTGCTAAAGGCAACAACTCAAGATTTCCAGTGAAGGGAAATCTGGAAAAAAAATGTAGTATCAACTGCTAATTTGGTAACTGTTATGTAGCAGAATGCCACTCTTATGAGACGGGCACATATCGGAGAATTTAAGTTTTGTTTTTTTTCCCCCTCTAGACAGGATCTCACTATGTACCCCAGGCTGGCCTAGAAGCAATCTTTCTGCTGAGCGTCCCAAATGCTGGGATCACAGGCATGTGTCACCATGCCTGGCTGAGATAGTCATCCTCTTCCTCCTTCTCGGTTCACTTTTCCCATTTCTGCCCCCTTTTGTGTGTCAGGCTTTCAAAGCTGCCCTGCCCGCGCAGTCTGGAGCTCTCAGGCTCAAGCGATCCTCTCGCCCTGTCTCCTGAGCGGCCCGGACTATAGGGACAAGCTGCCCAGCCTGGCTTGTAGATAAAGTAGATGGGAGACGTGTGTGTCTGTCTGCAGAGAAGCAAACGTGGCCAAGCATGAGCAGGTGAGTGCAGGCTGTACTTGGAACTTGTCAGAGGTCTGGCATTTGGAGGCTAAGATAGTGAGCGAGGTCCAGAGTTGGCGAAGTCGCTGGGTGGGAGACGTCCCATGGGAACAGCCTGTCTGTCTTCCATACTGGGTTCCAGGCTTTGAGACATGGCTGCCTGGGAATGTTTCTGCCACTTCCTCCTGAGCCTAGAATCTGCTGCTGTTACGTGGTCACAGTGTGTTGAGTGCAGGCGGTAAGAACCAGTGGGGCCTCTAGGAGTCGAGGACAGTGTATGGTTTTTGGCCGGAGTCAAGTTTGCTGTAGCTGCCATGTCCAACTGCTAATGGGTCAACATGCACATCTCTACGAATCTCACAGGCGAATCAGACTCTCTCTCTCTCCTTCTCTCAAGACAGGATTTCTCTATGTAGTCCCAGCCGTCCTGGAACTCAAGAGATGCACCTGCCTCCTCTGCCTTCCGAATGCTGGGATTAAGGCGTGCGCCACCTCAGCCTGGAGAAACAGATGCTCTCGGAGCTCTGCTTTACAGACCAGCCACGGCAGGCCATCTCCTTCCTCTGTAACTTGGCTTCTGCCATCCCCTATACCAGGAATTCAAAGAGAAAAATCCCATTTCGCTGCCAGGCCTCACATATGGAATTCCTGTCTTCCTCTCCTTTGGCCCCTAGCACCTACCATCTGCTCATCAGCACAGCTAACACCAGCAGATTGGTGCTGGCCTCTCTGTGGGCTGGGAAGGCCCTCCCTGCGCCCTGAAACAGGCTGGACAGGGGCAGGGAGCAGAGGACACTTTCTTTTTTTTCCTTACTTTGTTTAGTTTGAACCATTTTCACCTTCCCTGACAGACTTATTTACCAACAGGAATATTTATTTACCTGCCTTGGAGACAAATATTTTTAAAACACTTCATTTTGAAATACTTGAATTTTCCGTTTGGAATCAATCAAAGTCCTGAGACAAGGTCTCTCTGACTGCTGGGCTGATTGGCAATGAAGACTTCCACTGTGGAGGGGAGTGGGCAGGGCACTGGGCACATTTCAAAGATGACACCGTTCCAAGTGCCTACTGGTCAACTAGCAGCTTCCCCAGCTAACTCAGTTAGGTCATCAGCTTATGGACTTTGGTTGAGAGTCAGGCAGACTTCACCTTCACCCTGCACACCCAACAGCTGTATCCAACCTGTAAGAGGCCACAGGACCAACTTAGCAAGAGAGGAAAGGTACCTCCTAGACTCAGCTCACACAAGGGACCCTGGACTTTGAGACCATCAGCACAGCGGGAGGTGAGGGGAGTAAGCTGGAAGAAGCAAGCACCCAGCCAGATGCGATTTCCCTGCTTGTACAGAGATGCTTTGTTAAAGATGGTGCAGATTCCCAACAACCATGCAGAACTTTCCTTAGCCATCTTGGCTGGCTCTCCAGCTTTGTCGAGTAACCACCTCCTTTCTCTTCCCGTGGACTTTCCACGCCTGGCATTAGTGACAATGAGAAACAAAGGGCTTGCAAATTCCTCCAGCCTGAAGACACCGTAGGGGGTTGCCTCCTAGCTCTGTGCGTGGAGGAGCTGAGAGAACTCGACCTGAAGCACAACTTTGGCAGGGTAGATCAGAAGGTTTATTTCTTTACACTAACTACCCCAGACCCAACCTGTTTCCCTGGCCTGCAGAAAAAGGCAGGGTCGTTGAAGGCGTTTGCGGTGAGTAACTTGTCACCCGTGTTCCTCAACTAGAAATGGATGAGGCGAAGCCTTTGCGGGATGCGAGAGTCGACTGAGTTTTGTGTGTGACGCACTGAGCACCAAGGATGGGCTTTTTATTTCTTAGTCACATGGAAAGAACGGCGTTGTGTCCATCCACGGGCCCACAGCTCAACTACACGCCCTGGGGTGGCCAGAGCTGGGAGGGGGTCCCTGTCATCCCTGTGGTTCGCCCTACATCCCTTCACCCAACCCAGCACCCTACTCCTGTGCGCTGCAACCCGACCCTTCAGGGATCAGACAGACAAGATGCCCCTACTCATCTGCAGACCCCGCCCCTCTTCCCACCCACCCAAAGCTCCTCCCACAGAGCGCCCTTCCCCAACCCCGTCTCTCCCGTAGCTCCGTCCACCCCCCCACCACCAAACGCGCCCCTCCCCCGCGGCCAAGGGCGGGGCCACCCCACTTCACTGACGAGACCATCGAGGCGGCATCAGATGACATTCACGGCGGGACAGGTGCCCTGCGGGCCCCACTACACGTCTGCTGGGTCCCGAGCTCCCCCTCACCCCCGGCGCACCGCACCCACCTCCAGCCCTCGCTCCGCAGCCTCCCCTCCAGCCAGCGCAGCTTCGGCAGGGGGCGGACCGGGCGGGGGCAGGGGCGGGGC